GGGGTGGCGGGCCCTTAAAATGGGGGAGGAGGAAATCTCATTTCTTTCTAGATGGCATGACTTCTGAGCATTCATCACCACTGAAATGATGGGATGTTTCCAATGAAAAACACATTCTGGAGGGATTATAATGGATGATGTTTTTAAAGAAAACCATGACTTAATAGACCAAGGGAAGAGAACGGTGTTCCCTTATACTGAAAAGAAGAAAGTGGTCGTTGAGCCCCTGGTGCCAGTGGAGGGGACTGATCTGACTTGCAAGGCCTCTGAGCACCCTGACAGCCTAAGGCAGCCTTCTTTCTGTCTGTAATGTGGAGATAACAGTGCCTCTCAGAGGCCTTTCGAGTCAAATGATGCAGTACATGTTCAAGGATCTGTGTGCTCTGAGCCCTAGGAGGAAGTCAGGGAGAACCAGTCTGAGGTCGAGTTCATGTGTATTTTGCTATGTCGTTGTGCTCCCCGGAAACCCAGCTGCTAGATACCTCTCTATGTTCTAGGCAGGGAGATACAGGCTCGAGTTCCATAACCTTAGCAGTGTGTCACGCAAGAGGGTAGTTACAGACAGTTTTCAATGTGGACACACCATCTCTGAGGCCCGCACTTGTTTGGTGTGGCCTGACCCACCCGCCCCACCCCAGCCGGCAAGGCCTGCCTGCCCAGCTGTGGCCCCCAGTTGCTGTGGGCATGTGGCCAAGTCACTTCAGTTCAGCCGACATTTCTGGAGCTGCTGTTCTGTGCCAGACCCTGTGCTGGTGGTACAAGAGTGGACAGTGACTCTTGCCTAAAGGGAGACAGACAAGGAGCTGGCTATAGTGTCCCATGCTAAGTCCCACTGAGTGGGTATGCAGTCAGCACTGTGGGATCCAGACAGCCCCTGCCTGGGGAGCCACAACTGGGGGTGGGTGCAGGTAGAGGGTAAGACAACTTTTATTGGGATCAGTGACATTGGCCCGTGACATTTGCTGTTGCTTTAGAATTTACAAAGCACCTTCACTCAGGGTATGTCATTGGACCCTCACCCGTCAGTCCCTGTTTTACAGATGAGCAAGCTGAGGCTCAGAGTGGTGATATGGCTTTCTTCACAAAGTCACACAACTAGAAAATGGCAGGGCTGGTAACCCACCTTGGCTTAAAGTGCAAGATCATGTCGGAGGCTTAGATTCCGAATTTGAAACCAGAAGGAGCTGAGTCTAAGATGCTCATGTGCTCGTTATTAAATCAAGTATCTGTCTGCTCTCTCCTCAGCCCACCACGCCCATCACAATCTGCTCCCCCAAAGGCTTTGAGTCAATCATTTACACTGTAATGTAAATCTGTTATCCCTCTAGGAGATCCTGCATGTTTAGCCTCCCCTTAATTGTGAAATTAAAAGTTGAGTCCTTATTGAAGAATATGTGAGCATCAAAACTCAAGTGCACAAGGCACTGGGGACCCTGGGGCCCTTTTCTGGGACATGTGAAACTGTGCCATGGCAGCAGCCAGCACTCTGCATCCAGATCAAGAGAGGTAGATCCTCCATTTGCCATCACTCCTAGGAATGTGAGCAGCCAGTGAAAGGCAGTGACCGAAACTCAGTGCTTTTCTGGGCAGGGGCAAAAAGGAGTGGGGACAGACACTTCCTTAGTGTGGAACACTGTGTGTGAGTCCACAGAGCCCGCCATCGAGCCATCTGTGCTTTACAGAGAGAAGTTCGAGACCCAGACCATGCTCAGATGAGAGCAGTGAGCTTGCTGAAGAGCAGTGAGGTCCCAGGAAATTGCCAGGAGGGGTGGCTGCAGGGAAGTGAGGTGGGCCACAGGGCCATGCTGAATGGTCCAAAGGCCAGTGCCTCCATCTCCTGGGCCCCATGCCGTCCCTCCATTTGCTCAGTGTCCCTTGTCAAAGCAGCCACCTTTGCAGGGAGTGAGAGATCAGAGAGTGGGGGAGCCTGGTCACCCCCCCCCCCGTCTCCACCACACTCTAGATTCTAATCACTGCCTGCATGTGGCTAGTAAGTCAAAAGCCATCATCCCTAAGTAGTGCTTTTTTGTCATTGACCTCAGAGCAGCGCAGGTGGTTAAGACAACACAGGTTCACAACCCAGCCCCGCTGCTGTCCCCGTCTCACCTTGTGTGGGCATCATCCGCCATCAGATGAGTTTGGGGGTAGCCCTCATAGGGCTGATTGAGGAGTGAATGGCATCCAAGTATAGCATTCACCCCAGTGAAATGTCCAGTAGGGGCTTTTGATCATCACCATTTTCACAATCACCATCTGGGGCAGTCGTCAGCCTCGTCTCTCATCAGAATCTCATTTCTTATATGGGCCTGTAAAATGTTTATGTATTCGAAGAACCGTCCATCGAGTGTAGCTCAGGCCCCATAAATGGTGCGTGCTGTGGTTGAGTACCCACACGTGATGGCGGCATGCCCTGGGGCAGCTGTCTCGCTGCAACTTTCGCAGTGGGTGATGGGAAGCAAATTTGCCCACAGGGAACAGCTCCAGCCCCGGGAAAGAGGATGAGAGCTGTCCCGTGGTCTCCTCTGTGCTTCAGTCCCCAAGAGCTCTAGAGGCGACCCGGCCCCTGCAGGCCATCGGGGGTCACCTCAGCCTCCTGGTTCCCTGGCTAGAAGGTCCCAGCCACAATGTGCAGGTCAGCAGGCTGCGAATTCGGAGGAATGAGGGACACCTGAAGCTGAGACTGCCAGGAAGAAAGCAGGTGTCGCAGGGGGAGTGGAAAGGGGTGTGTGTCTATGAAAGCATTTCCTGTTTCTCAGCGATGGCACAGGGAGTGGGGATTTTCACTGTCGTTTAACACTGCTATTTCAGGTTTCAACCGCTTTTGAGGTTTTCCTTGCTCATGCCAAGTCTCGGGGGGAAATCTGTTCAAAATGCTTTTGAAGAGCTTTTGACATTTCACCAGCCAAGCACCTTTTCAGTAGAAAATGCAGTTACTGTCAGGATTCTGTCTGTCTCTTTCTTTGCTATCCAAAACCAGCCTGAGGCAGGCTGGCCCCTCAGAGACTCACTCAGTGGGGATGGGGGTGCATTCACTGTGCTTTGAGAGTTCAGCCTTGCATGATTTCACCCCATCCTGGGCTTGTGCTCACCCCAAAGCCAGTGGGGGGAGCCAGTGGGGGGCAGCCCTGCCTGGGCCACTCTGCAGGAACCACAGCCCAGGCGTGTAGTTGACATTCCTGGAGTGTTTTCCTCTTCCTGAGAGCTTTACAGCCTCCTCTGGCTAATTCTCAAAACATCCTGTTGGGATCTGGTGTTATTTACAGTTGTGATTTTACAGCTGGGAGAAGCTGCGAGAAGGGAATCCTGCTGTGGGGAAGGATGTCATCAGGGTAGGGGTGATGGAGACCTGGTTCCTCCCTGTCGGGGGTGGTGCGGGCAGGTGGGAGGCAGGGGCAGGCTAGCCGTGTGGCTTGGGAAGACTCACATGGACACTCTGAAACCTCACATTCTGCCTCTCTGAAAGGTGGTGCCGCATCCCTAGCAGACACCACTTATTGAGCACCTACTGTGTTCTGAGCTCTGGCCACAGCAGCTGTCAGTGTGAGGATGAACAAGCTCGTACATAAGCCCGGTGCCCTGTACACAGCAGACAGGCAGGAGGTGGGCCCTGCTGCGATGGCGACTGCCGTTTCTATTATTATTAAAGAAGCTAGTAACGCTTACACAGTGTCTCACTATCACGTTGGTCTGGGGAACCTAACATCTTTTCTCTTTTTGCTGGAAACTCTGCCTAAAGGGAAATCTCTTTTTCACAGTAACTTCATGAAATAATTTGCACAAAAAAGCACATGAGTAAATCCAAATTGAACCTCTTCCCTTTGTTGCCGTGAACCTTTTGCCCTTTGCGCATCAACAATTTTGTTACTGTTTTTCCGGTGACACCCCCTCCCTGCCTGGGAAGGGTGGTGGGCGGATGCGGAGGCTGCCTCTCCACCAGGTGGCCAGCTCAGATGCACGGCTGTGGGCACCTGCTGGGGTGGGGGCTCCACTCACTTCAGGTTTCCTGGCAAGGAGCTTTTCGGTTAAATTTATTGCTGCCTCCATTTCTGTCTCAGTTACCTGAGTCTTGGGAAGCCACATGAAATGTGGATGTGATGAGCCCCTTGACAAAAGGACTGTCAGTGAGAGCTTCAAACAAGACCAGATATGTTTTTTATAGATCTGTTTGCTTGGATTATTAAAGCCTAAAAAATGGCTTCACAGCGATGCTTGGGGCAAGTTTGATGCTATCAGGAGACACTGCAGTCTCCTCACTGTTCAATTAAAGCTGAAGCCTCAGGGGAGGCCAACAGAGAAGGAATTCACCCCATGTGCCTGTTATCCTTCCCACCACCGCCCAGCTCAGGTTACGAGGATGTCCTTCAACAGCAACCCCTTCAGATCTGTCTGGAATCATGTTTGTCTTCAGGACCAAAACAGCCTCTAATTGTGCTCCCCGAGGTCTGGCTGCCAGATCAACTCAGGGAGCCAGGCAGACAGGGCTGTCTGCACCTGCCTGTGGAGGGCCTGGTGACCTAAGGGCAGCCCAGGGAGTGCTAAGGGAGTGGGCCAGGTGACGCAGTGTGCCTTGCTGGGCTCCAGGAGCTCCCTGGCCAGCTGTCTGTGCTCTTGGCCGTGCATTTGCTGTTGAGAATAATAACAGCAGGATTTGTTGAGCTCCACTCTGAGACCCCCCCGCTAGGCTCCTGTTCCACACTGCCTCTACTCCAGGAGACAATTCTATAAACAAGAGTTTATTATCCTCATGCTGCAAATAAACTGAGGCTCAGAGAGGTTAAGTCATTTACCTGAGGTCACACAGCTAGTAAGTGGGGATGTAGCATGCCAACAGGCCCCCCTTCCCCCTGGTGCCCCACACCGCACAGTCTCTCCATCAAAACTCTGGTTAAGGAGAGTATATACCTGTGGATTTTAGGCCAGGGCAGGCCTGGCACCACCTCAACTCAAATGAAAATGCAGCTGGTTAGGATCGTGGGCCACCAGCAGGTTACACCAAAGAGTCATTGGCAGAATTCTCCAGTTTTATTTTAATTATAAAAGTAGTTCTTACTACAGAACACACTAAAAGGAAAATTAGTCCCAGAAACCATATGCTGACATGGTAAATTTTCATAATGGTTTGTCTTCCAAACTGTTACATAGGTACACACACATCTGTATTAAAACGGGGTGGCTTCTGTACATGCCACTTTGTAACTTGTCTTCTCACCTAACACATGGAAGCATCCTCTAGGGGGCTGGCCCAGACACAGCTCCAGGCAGTTAAGCAAACACCCCAAAATTCTCAAAAATTCTTCCAGGTGAGCCAGAGCCACCCATAGCCCACAGCTGTGTGAACAGCACCCACTAGGACTCCAGCTAGAATTAAGCAAACCCTAATTCTGATGAGAGTAAAATGCCTACAAGGGGCAGAGCCCTTGGGACCACCTGCCCTCAAAACCACCTCCCGCCTGGCCCTGACCTGGCCCTGCCTCATGGCGACACTAGTGAACAGTGAGAACAGACACCTGTCCCTGTTGAAGGACTTTGGAGACACCCTTCCATGATCTCATGGAGCAGTTCTATTTATAGACTGGAAAATTAAAAGCCAGTGACCCAGGCTAGGAAAGATAATGAGTAAATGGTGGAGATGGGCAGTGACCTGGTTCTTTGATTCCCACTTCCAATTAAAGCTCCATTTAGTACAACCTCTTATTCACATAGGAGGATGGAATTCAGTCCATGAGATGGGGGTCACTGGACCACTTGCCACTCCTACCTCTGCAACTTTGAGCAAGACATGGACCCCTGCCAACCTCAGTGGCCGGCATCAGCCGTGAGGATTGTTGTGGAATGTTCCACGCTGCCGTGGAGGCCTATGAGGGATCCCTTGGGAAGAGCAGGCACACCACCTGCATATGCTGGAGACGTGCCACATGCCAGCCTTTTCCCCTCAGCCCCAGAGCAGGCTGCACAACACTAAGACCTTTCAGAGGGGACATCTGTCTGCAAGGTCACCCTAAATGCCTGAGTTTCATGATGGTCATTGATCATTTCCAGGCAGAAACCTTGCCAATGCTGCACTTGGTTTTAATAGACCCACAGGGTGAAGGCCTTGCCCTTGTGTGATTTTCACATACATAGTAGCAATACTCACAGAGGAAACGGAAGCCCTTCCTGGCACTCCTGCAGGACTGAGCCCCTTAACAGCAGTGATTCTGTGGGGCTGACTCCCCAGCTGGTAGGGCACCTCCTCAAGAGAGGCAGGGGAGTGAGGTGGGCTCCTCCATCCATCTGTGCAGTTTCCTCCCCAGAAATCCAGCAGCCCCCCACCTCGTGCTCCTCTCTCCAGGAAGAAATAGGAAGATGCCTGGCTTTCCCTCCTGGGCACATGTTTTGCAGTAGAGGCGGCACTGTGGCCAATGGTCCAAGGAAAGATCTGAAGAGAAAAGGGATATTGGTATTGCCTGCAGGTCAGCAGTCAGCAGGTATATCCTTTTTTTTTTTTTTTCTCTCTTTTTTTGAAACAGAGTCTTGCTCTGTCATCCAAGCTGGAGTGCAGTGCCGTGATCTCGGCTCACTGCAACCTCTGCCTCCTGGGTTGAAGTGATTCTCCTGTCTCAGCCTCCCAAATAGCTGGGATTACAGGCGCTCACCACTATGCCCGGCTAATTTTTATATTTTTAGTAGAGACAGGGTTTCTCCATGTGGGCCAGGCTGGTCTCGAACTCCTGGCCTCAGGTGATCTGCCCACCGCAGCTTCCCAAAATGCTGGGATTACAGGTGTGAGCCACCGTGCCTGGCTCGCTGTTCTTAAGTGGGCCTCATATGTGCCAATTCACAGAAATGAACCCTGATTATATGGTAAGCCCATTTTCCCAGGAAGCAGGGTTTCTTTTAAATTACATAACCCGTTTAGATATAAAAGTCTCTAGTGGTATAAGTGGACTCATTAAATGCCTACCATTAAGTAATGTATTGATGTAGTTACACATTCATATTTAAAGTTATGCATTATAAACATTCAAATTTAGAAATGTTACTATTTTCCTTTTTTTTTTATCTTTTATTTTTTCTTTTATAATACTTTAAGTTCTAGGGTACATGTGCACAACGTAGAGATTTGTTCCATAGGTATACATGTGCCATGTTGGTTTGCTGCACCCATCAACTCGTCATCCACATTAGGCATTTCTCCCAATGCTATCCCTCCCCCAACCCCCCACCCCCTGGCAGGCCCCCAAGTATGTGATGCTTCCCACCCTATGTCCAAGTGTTCTCTCATTGTTCAGTTCCTACCTATGAGTGAAAACATGTGGTGTTTGGTTTTCTGTCCTTGTGATAGTTTCTGTGAATGATGGTTTCCAGCTTCATCCATGTCCCTGCAAAGGACATGAACTCATCCTTTTTTATGGCTGCATAGTATTCCATGGTGTATATGTGCCACATTTTCTTTTTATTATACTTTAAGTTCTAGGGTACATGTGCACAACGTGCAGGTTTGTCACATATGTATACATGTGCCATGTTGGTGTGCTACACCCATCAACTCGTCAGCATCCATCAACTCGTCATTTACATCAGGTATAACTTCCAATGCCATCCCTCCCCTCATTCCCCTCCCCATAATAGGTCCCGGCATGTGATGTTCCCCTTTCCGAGTCCAAGTGATCTCATTGTTCAGTTCCCACCTATGAGTGAGAACATGCGGTGTTTGGTTTTCTGTTCTTGTGATAGTTTGCTGAGAATGATGGTTTCCAGCTACATCTATGTCCCTACAAAGGATACGAACTCATCCTTTTTGATGGCTGCATAGTATTCCATGGTATATATTTGCCACATTTTCTTAATCCAGTCTGTCACTGATGGACATTTGGGTTGATTCCAAGTCTTTGCTACTGTGAATAGTGCTGCAATAAACATACATGTGCATGTGTCTTTATAGCAGCATGATTTATAATCCTTTGGGTATATACCCAGTAATGGGATGGCTGGGTCAAATGGTATTTCTAGTTCTAGACCCTTGAGGAATCACCATACTGTTTTCCGCAATGGTTGAACTAGTTTAAAATCCCACCAACCGTGTAAAAGTGTTCCTGTTTCTCCACATCCTCTTGAGCTGCAGTGGGCTCCACCCAGTTCAAGCTTCCTGGAGGCTTTGTTTACCTACTTAAGCCTCAGCAATGGTGGGCAACCCTCCCCCAGCCTCGCTGTTGCCTTGCAGTTAGATCTCAGACTGCTGTGCTAGCAATGAGGGAGGCTCCGTGGGCGTGGGACCCTCCCGGCCAGGTGTGGGATATAATTTCCTGGTGTGCCGTTTGCTATACCCTTGGTAAAGTGCAGTATTAGGGTGGGAGTTGCCCAATTTTCCAGGTGTTGTGTGTCTCAGTTTCCCTTGGCTAGGAAAAGGGATTCCCTCCACCCTTGCGCTTCCCAGGTGAGGCGATGCCTTGCCCTGCTTCAGGTCTTGCTGGTTGGGCTGCACCCCCAGACCAGCACCAATTGTCCGGCACCCCCAGTGAGATGAACCCGGTACCTCAGTTGAAAATGCAGAAATCACCCGTCTTCTGTGTTGCTTGCGCTGGGAGCTGGAGGCTGGAGCTGTTGCTATTCGGCCATCTTGCTCCAGGACTCTACTATTTTCTTTAGTGTGTTATAAAATGGAGCCCTTATGAAATGGATGCATTGAGGTCAAAACAGGTGAATATAAGCAGTTTTGTATGGTGCAACCTAGTGATTGCAATCTTGGTCTCATCGTCACCAGCTCCACTTTGAGTCACCTGTCGGTTTGCCAGAGGACACATGGTCATATCTGACTTCACTCAAATGCTGCCCTTTTTCAGTCTGTGTCCTGCTGTCAGTGGACAGGTTGCATGGTTTTGCAGGGGATTGGCATGACTTTTCTCTGCATTTAGCTTTCGGCTCTGTGGCTTTGTTCTGCATTGGGAACACTGGCCTTTTCCTTCATCCACCACATTTGTGTGGACTCTCAGTTTCTGGGTACCACTACTTACCAGATTGCTTTCATAAGTGATTTTTTTTTTTTTTTTTTTTTGAGGCAGAGCCTCGCTCTGTTGCCTAGGCAAGAGTGCAGTGGCGCAATCTCGGCTCACCACAACCTTCACTTCCCGAGTTCAAGCGATTTTCCTACCTCAGCCTCCCGAGTAGATGGCATTACAGGTGCACACCACCATGCCTGGCTAATTTTTGTATTTTTAGTAGAGACAGGATTTCACTATGTTGGCCAGGCTGGTCTCAAACTCCTGACCTCATGATCCACCAGCCGTAGCCTCGCAATGTGCTGGGATTACAGGCATGAGCCACTGTGCCTGGCCTCTAAAAAGAATTTTGACCGAAAGCCTTTGCTCCCTTACCTTCAGGCATACCTGTCATCTGGCTATAAACTGCAGTCAGGGCTGCGCCTGGATGTTGTTCTTGCTTACTTATACGTATTTGTGTGTGCAAAGACACAACTACTCTTTAACAGGAAGAAAAGAGAACTCTTTGCATTCTCCACAGGGCCCTGCGGGGAGGTTCAGGTTAAGTCAGAGGCTCTTGGTTCTGAATGCCCATTGTAACCACTTGGAGAACTTTAAACACACTGAGCCCTCAGTCCTGGGACCTCCTCCACCATCTGATTGTATTGGTGTGGGATTTTTCAAAGCTCACCAGGTAGCTCCATGCAGTAAATCCCAGTGTGCAGCCAGCTTCCTCCAAGGTGCCCCCAACGCCAACAGGGCAAGAGTCACGTTGCTGTAGCGCCTGTCCTGTGTTCAAGGCGGGAACCTCCTTGTGCGACTTCATCCCTCAACCTCAGCACTCCTCAAACTTCCATGTGCCTGATGCTGACTGCTGGGTCTGGGATGGAGCCCTGAAATCTGCATGTGTAATGTATGTATTTGTAAGGTCATAAGCAGCCTCCAAAGGGTTTATCTAAGAAAGGAACAAGGCATGAAGTGGAGGCCCTAGGGCTGGCCTGGCCTGTTGGGTCAGAGCCCGGGTTTCAGTTTGAACATGCCGGGGGCCCACAGGGGAGCTGCTTGTGGTTTTCACACCTTCTTTGTGAGCTAAAAAAACCGGTGCCCCTTTAGAGCAACATTCCCTCTGAATGTTTATCATTCTAAAGTGAAAAAAGACACACAAAGCATGAACCTGCTTGTCAGGCAAGGAAGCTGAGGAATCTGTCTGGCTTGCAGAAACCCCTCCTGGGAGCAGACAGCCCTCCCAGGCACAGATGGGACACCACCGCCTCCCACTCGGCCTGTGTCTAGAGACTCCGCATGGCCCCCAGGAAGGTCCTTTCTCCAACAAGGCCAGGGTCAGGACCAAGAGTGAGGACATGGGAAGCACAGGACCTGCAGGGCACCTGCCTCCCTCACCACGTGTGGCATTCAGAGAACAAGGCTGCTCCAGGCCCTGCTCCCTTCTCTCCACCCCAAGGTGCCATTACTAACTCCGGCTGGGCTGCCGACCTGGTTTTGCTGAGCGCTCTCAGAACCCTGTAAATCAGGGGTTGTGTGGGCTCTGGTGGACACCAGACAGAAAGTATATTCATGGACCTGGCTGTCTTCCTGGGAAGAGGCCAATGTAAGGGAGAAGAGACTGTTCCAAGGGCTCCTGGGAGAAAGCAAGGGCCAAAAAGCTCAAGAGCAGGATCTGAGTAGAGGACGCAAATACCTGGCCAGTTCCTGCCTGGCAAATGCTTTAAAGAGCGTGAAGAAAGGCCAGGCACGGTGGCTCACTCCTATCATCCCAGCACTTTGGGAGGCCGAGGCAGGCAGATTGCCTGAGGTCGGGAGTTCGAGACCAGTCCGGCCAACATGGTGAAACCTTGTCTCTACTAAAAATACAAAAAAGTTAGCTGGGTGTGGTGGCGGGTGCCTATAATCCCAGCTACTCAGAAGGCTGAGGCAGGGGAATTGCTTTAACCAGGGAGGCGGAGGTTGCAGTGAGCAGAGATTACGCCACTGCACTCCAGCCTGGGTGACAGAGCAAGACTCCATCTCAAAAAAAAAAAGTGAAGAGGAGAGACGGAGAACAGAACCACAGAGCAAAGTCTTTACAGGTCCACTCCTTGGGAATTTGGGGGCCTCTGCTCAACTTCATTGACCTGGTTTTAGCAAACATGCTACCTCCTCATGCTAGGGCTGGAGATACTAGCAGCAAGGGATGTGTGTCTAAATGAACACTGTCAGCCACATGTTAGTGCGTGACTCTGGTATGCAAGAAAGGTTGTACTTCATTTTCTTCTACTTAATTCTAAGCCCCAATCCTCCAGGCTTGTGGGAAATTCAGCCCCAGTCATTACCGGGCTCTTCTCCATGCCCACGACTGGGCAAAGGCCCCAGAGCTTCATGCAGCAGATAGTGCTGGGGAGACCTCTGTGGTCATCAGGCCCAGTCCTTCCTGGGGGCCACCAAGCCATGCTGCTCACCATCTCAGAAACTTCAGAGGCTGGAGCAGAGGCGAGCGGTGGAATGCAGCTAGCAGGAGGTAGGATTTCAGCAGGCGTCTCACATCTAAGTCTCCCTGGCTGCTGTTACCAAGTACCAAGGCCTAGGTGGCTTAAACGTTTATTCCTTACAGTTCTGGAGGTGGAGGGTCAAAATCAAGGTGCTAACAAATCCCGTGTCTGGTGAAGACCCTCCTCCTGATGTACAGACCACCGTATCCTCTCATGGTGGAGAGTGAGCGAGCCTGGGTTTCTTTCCCTTCTCACACTATTCCCAGCGTGGAGGCTCCGCCCTCATGACAGCTAACCCTACTCACCTCCCACAGCCCCCACCTCCATGGCTCCAACATCTGCATTTTGCAGAGACACAAACAGGCATTCCATAACATCTTGAAAGTCTTCCATCAGGCAGCTGCTGTTTTTGCCCTGAACGATTGCAAGTGCCTGGGCATGACATATGCCCCAGCCCAGGGGGAGCCGCATTGTAAGGCCATCGTCTCAGCCCCCGACTCAGGCTGTCCTGTCTCCGCAGTGCTCATCGACCTGCGGGAAGGGCCTGCAGTCCCGGGTGGTGCAGTGCATGCACAAGGTCACAGGGCGCCACGGCAGCGAGTGCCCCGCCCTCTCGAAGCCTGCCCCCTACAGACAGTGCTACCAGGAGGTCTGCAACGACAGGATCAACGCCAACACCATCACCTCCCCCCGCCTTGGTGAGTGTCTTCACTGGCCCCGGTTCCCCGGGGGCTGCTGTGTCTCCTGCCCACTGAGTCCTCCCTGATGGTGAGGTTCTTTCAGCTAGAAAGCCCCCTTCTTGGGCCTCACTTGTCACACAAGGCTGACATGTGTCAGTTCTGTAGAAGAGGTTTCAAAGATGGAATTCCATTCCCTGTTGTGGAACTGGTGTTTGCTTACTGCTGTCTCAAACACAGGCCCCTGAGCATCCCCCTCACCCTTTTGCCCAACACAGAAGAATGTTCCACAGACATTGTAGGTTTCCTGTGCATGAGGAATGTGAAGGGAAGTGCTTCTTTCTAGAAATGAAAGCTCCAGGGACATCCTTCATGACGCCGTGAGGATGCACACGTGGGGCACACCCCAGGCTGATGCTCGAGCAGCAGACAGGTGTGGTGGAGGGCTGCAGACTGTGTGCGTGGTTTGGCCCTGGGTGCTCAGAACCTGGCCTCTTACCAGTTCATGCCCCAGGTCAGTGGTGATACGAGGAGACGAGGAGCACTTAAAGATCTGGCCAGGTGTGGTGGCACATGCCTGTAAATCCCAGCACTTTGGGAGGCCAAGATGGGTGGATCCCTGAGGTCAGAAGCTCAAGACCAGCCTGACCAACACAGTGTAACCCTGTCTCTATTAAAAATACAAAAAGTAGCCAGGCGTGGTGGCACATGCCTGTAGTCCCCACTACTCAGGTGGCTGAGGCAGGAGAATCGCTTGAACCCAGAAGGCAGAGGCTGTAGTGAGCCGAGATTGCGCCACTGCACTCCAGCCTGGGCGACAGAGTGAGACTCTGTCTCAACACATACAAAACAATGATATAATTCCTTTTAACAGAGTTTCTGTTTTGCTAAATAGAAGTCCCTGAGAAATATTTTCCTACCTGAGGCTGGAAACTCACTGAAATGCAGGGGATTTGTAGCATCTTTGTTCCAGGGGAGGCCTTTGGGCTGCCGGAAGTATAGTTGTGGCTTTTGCAAGCACGGGCCTGCTTGGTGACTTCCAGAGACCACCCTCAAGCAGGGCCTTCTCTCTGTACAATCAAGACCCTGAAGGATATTTGGGCCACTTGTATGTCTTGGACCTCATGCTTTTTGGGGTCCTTTGATGTTCACTGTTCCATGTCGTCCTGTTTTATAAATGCCTACAATAATGGTACCCACAGCCACAAAACAGTAAGTGTCACTTAGCTTGGAAGCAAGGTGGCCTGTGCCCTCTTCCCTGGAGAGGCAGCCAGACCACCACGCTGTCATGTGGTTGGGTTTGGATGCAAGGGTGCATCCCTGTGACAGAAAGTGGCACCCCCAGTGCCCTGGGAGGAGGCATGGCCTAATCAGTGCATAGGGTTGACATGTGCACAAGGGTGAGGGAGCCCAGACGGTGGGACCACAAGCCCTCCCTGGGCGTGCATCAGGACACGCCTGGGCCATCCCTGACCCTGGGTGTTCTCTTTTGTCCCCTTAGCTGCTCTGACCTACAAATGCACGCGAGACCAGTGGACGGTGTATTGCCGGGTCATCCGAGAAAAGAACCTCTGCCAGGACATGCGGTGGTACCAGCGCTGCTGCCAGACCTGCAGGGACTTCTATGCAAACAAGATGCGCCAGCCACCGCCAAGCTCGTGACGCGCAGCCCCGGGGGTCGCTCAAGGCTCAGACTCGAGGTCTGAAAGCCGCCCACCCCCAAGCGTATCAGCCTTGCGGCCATGCCCCCACAAGGCTACCACAAGAATACAACTGCATAGAACATGAGTGTGGACTTGACGTTTGCCATTAAAGCTTCTGTACTTAATATATTGTTAACAGCCACTGGATGGCTTTCTACAGTGAGGAAAAAGTAGGCATGAGTCACAAAATAACTTTAATTTCTAGGATTCCAGGTACCTCGAAGGGGAGCACCTCTGGCAGACAACCGTCAAGAGAGAGACATCATTTAGTGTTCCTGTCTTGGCTCGCTTTCGACATTTGAATTCCCAGTGCTTGGTATATCATGGAGGAAACATCCCCAAAACGAGACATGTTAGAAGAGGCTTTATTCTGAAAGCCGGCGATACCCTGGAGGGAGGGGCAGGTGTTGGTGAGCCTCTACCCGTGGCTTCTCTGGAGAGGGCCGGGCTGCTGAGCCCACGTTTTCTCTTCATCTACCTTCTTGACCACATGAGAACCAGGACATTGCCTCCATGCCTGTCTCTGACAACATAGTGTCTAAATCCTAGGTGTTGCCTTGGAAGTCTCGTCCCTGAGAGTGTAAACTATGTATGCCAACGAGGACAACAGTGCCACGCAGTTCACACCACCCACATGGCAAGAATGTTCCAAGACAGTCTGGGTTTGGGGAAGCATCTAATTTTCAGAGCTCTGCTGTCCACCGTGTAGGGAAACAGAAGGGCCTTTCTTCAAGGTGCTGTGAAATGGGAAACGGTAATTGTGGTGATGGGGTTGCTGCCTAAGGCAAAGGTAAGCTTGGGCCAGCTTCGTTGGGGCAGATGGGCATCTGCCCCACCTTCCAGGAGCATCCACTCTGGCCCGCACTTCCTAAAGCTTTGCACCTTAGAGATGCTGTACCACATCCCAGTGGCTTTCTACCAACCTTGGCCATTTATCTGAAGACGACATTTGGGACCTCTGAGGACAAAAACCCAGGCCTAGGATGTATAGAGCAAGGCCTGACTGCTCTATCCTGGCACGGAGCAGCCTGATGTGGCAGGACCAGGGGAGGAACGCCATCTGGCCCGCACTGCTGCACACCCACTGAGCCTTCCTGTAGCCCAGACTCTGTGGTAGCCATTATCATCACGCCTGTCATCACTGACCCATCTTCTTGGTGGGGCAAGGATGATGCATGATGAAGGTCCTTCCCTCCTGCAGCCCCCTCACGCCTGGTAGCAGATGAACAGAGTGGCCTCTTTGAGAACACAGAGGATGGTAGAACTCTGCCTGCAAGGAGGCCAGGAAGGCTGGAAACAGAGACCCTAGATGCCAGGAGGCCTGTTTTTGCTCACCAACTTGGTGGGCATTTCATGGGTGCTTATGTTCTAGGACTTTACCATAAGAAACACACCTCCTCCCTGATTTCAGACAGAAGGTCTCACTTGGACTAATTTCCATGGGATCATCTCCCAGTGCTTCTTGATTTATTGGTGCTGTGTTTCTGTGTTTTGTTTTGTTAGATGTCACAACAGTAGAGTTAGCTTAAATCAGAAAGAAACCTCTCTGCGTTCTCCACCCTGTCTGACGAGCTGTGTTTGTGTTTGGACTACCCCAGAGGCAGAGAAGCGGTAGGGATGTCAGGGAATTTACTCACTTCCACTTGAATCAACGAGAAGTGTTGAGAAACTTCTGTGGATGCTCTGTGGAAAGAACTGAGAGTGCCAGGATGGAGCGGCCCACCCTCACCCCGGGGCCTGTGCAGAACTCTGTCCTCCCCGTCAGGCCTGGCCACCAGAAGACTCCCCTGAATTCCCATTTTCACAAAGCCCTCAAAATTTTGGGGGAGCTGAGATTCCATTTCCTTCATCCCCAAATGAACTGTTAATTCACCAAAAGACATTTAGACTTTTGCAGCCAAGGAGCAGAGCTGAGCTAGCTCACTAAGGAAGCCTTAGCTTGGTCTCCTGCATGGGCCCCGGGCCTCTAAATATGCCCCCTGGTCACCCTGGCAAGGGCCCCACACCCTCAGAATGAAAGGGATTGATTGGGTTGTCAGACACCCCCATTAGTTCCCCTAAAGTCCGCATCTTTGGAGCTCTTTTAGCTCATTTTTTTTGTTTTTTTGTTTTTTTTTTTTTTTTGAGATGGAGTCTCGCTCTGTCACCCAGGCTGGAGTGCAGTGGCGCGATCTTGGCTCACTGCAAACTCCGCCTCCCGGGTTCACGCCATTCTCCTGCCTCAGCCTCCCGAGCAGCTGGGACTACAGGCGCCCGCCACCATACCCGGCTACTTTTTTGTATTTTTAGTAGAGACGGGGTTTCACCGTGTTAGCCAGGATGGTCTCATTCTCCTGACCTTGTGATCCACCTGCCTCGGCCTCCCAAAGTGCTGGGATTACAGGAGTGAGCGACCGTGCCTGGCCTTTTAGCTTATCTTGAAATCCACCAGCCTGCCTTCCTGTTCATGGCACGAGCAGTGATTTCAGTGAAACCATCATGACATTCTTGTCCCACTAGACTCTGATCACAGCAGTGATGTCTCTGTATTGTTAACAACACCCTGTACTGTCCCTCAAGTACTGTACCTTTGTGCTTGCACACGTGTTACTAACTAGAGCCTCACGATCCTATGGTGCTATTTTTATTGGTGCAAAATGAAACCCTCTCAGTTGACCATGGCTTGATATGATCAGAATGCAGGAAAAGAGCCTCAATGGCAATACTATTGTTCTTTTTTCATTTCAGAGTCAAATGTATATATTTTCCATTAGTTAACTTGCATTACATACTGTACCCATGGTATTTTTGTTTTACTTTCTTTTTGGTGCTGGTTTTGAAAGGAAAAAAAAAAAAACAGAAGACAAACATTGGATGCCATTATACATGAAAAATTAATCATTTCATTGGAAGCAAGTTGAATATGTGTAATAAAATGTTTTTCCATAATGGTTTTAAGCTGTCTGTGAAGTAAAAGACAAAAGCCAGTCCTCAGGGCTGACGGGGAGGCTGTGTCCTTCCCCACTGTGGCGGTCACCTGGCTTGCCAGGGACTTGGCTGCGGGGAGCCTGCTGGCCACAGCTGGAGTTGGTGTCAGAGGTCACTGGGAAATGCAGTTCTGAGGGATGGCTGCATCTCCATGAGCGAGTGCTAACAAATCATTCAGTCCTGGCCTCATCCCTTTGTGGTTGCAAAACCCTGGGTGGGGACATGAGGGTCTGACAGTTGTGCTGGGAGCCTGTGCATCTGATGTAGAGCAGCCACTTCACTGGCAGAGCAGCCCAGGCTCCAAGACCTGTGCTGCAGAGTGCAGGCCCTGGCCATGCTGGCCGGAGAGCCATGCTCAACTCTCCACCCGCTACCCCCACCCCACAACCCTGCCAACAGCCCTCACAGCTTCCCTCCGCCAGCAGATGTGACGGCAAGTCACGGCCCCGCACATCCCCCAGCACTGCGGACAGGACAGGGGTGCCACACCACCACCACAGTGGGAACAACCACAGCCATTTGGATGCCATCTGGGCCTGACATGGAACACACATGTCACAGCTTACAGGGATGGGGAATCCATCTCCTCCCGGAGTCAGGAGAAACCTCCACACCCACAACCTTAGAGCCCTCTATTAAGACTAAAGCAGGCCAGGCGCAGCAGCTCACACCTGTAATCCCAGAACTTTGGGAAGTTGACATGGGAGGATCACTTGAGGCCAAGAGTTGATCAGCCTGGGCAAAATAGTGAGACCCCTGTCTACTAAAGTTAGCTGGGTGTGGTGGCATACTCCTGTAGTCCCTCTCAGCTACTCAGAAGGCTGAGGCAGGAACATCACTCGAGCCCAGTAGTTGGAGGCTGCAGTGAGCTGTGATTGTGCCACTGTACTCCAGCCTGGACAACACAGCAAGACCCTATCTAAGAAAAGAAAAATGGAGTAGCACCCAGAAATCTCACTAACGAAATAAATAATTTGACAGACAACATACTGCCCACAGCCCCCTGGTCACTGGAAAACCCGTGGTTTGTGTTAATTCTTGAGAACCATCGCCCACCTGCCTCCAGGACGTGGAACCCTCTAGTCCTTCCTCCGTTCTGCCCTCTCTGGCGGGTTGGCTTTTAACAGCCCTGTTTGCATGGAATTTCTTCATGTTCTGCTTCGATTCCTGGATGGCCCAGTGATTCCGGTTTGTTAGATGAAATTGACAAGCTCTCCATCAGCAAGTGTTGAGTGGGCATCTGTCAGGGACCAAGCACTTCCTAGAACCACAGAGAAGGCAAAGGAACAGAAGTCCTACTCAGGAGCCCACAGCCGTCCTACTCAGGAGCCCACAGCCCCACAGGGCAGAGAAGCCTGGAGATGCACAGAGCTGGGAATGAGCCAGAGAAGCACAGCTCCGAAGAGAGAAAGGTCAGGATGTCCTCTGTGGGTTTGTTCACTGACCTGGACACAGACTAGAAGGGCTGGGGTTGGAAGCTTTTACTGCAGCGCCCTCTCTGTGTAAAAGGTCTCAGCAAAAGCCCTTGCATTTCTGCTTCCAGGTACAAACCTACCTGCATGTGTCCACCTTCTCTGCCTGACAAGGAAGCGGTGCCCAGCCCTCCTGGAAAGCCAGCCCTCCCACCATCACTTGACATCCCCACCACCACCCCAGCAGCACTCCACACACCGCCTCACTTCTGGTCATGAACTCCCCTGGCTTTCACCCTCTGCTCTGCACTAACGCTCTTCTTGACAGGTCACCAATGACTTCATGGCATCAGGTTGCGTGGACATCCTAGTGTCCTGTTCCCCAGCTCCCAGCGGCCCTCCCCTTTGACGCAGCCCCTCTGCAGCACCACCCACTGCTGACTTTCCTCCCCTCTCCCCGCCATCTGGCTAGTGATGAAGTGCCCCAAGCTCAGCCCTCCACCCTTTTCTATATACTTTCTCCCTAGGTCATATTACCTGGACTCAAGACTTTCTAAACCACGTGCATCCTGTTCTTGTCCAAGTGAACATTTTGGGCCCTGACAGCCACCCTGGCCCACCTCTGTACTCACGCGTGACTCTCCACGTGCATACTCAATCCCCCGGGAAGTTTGGGCCTAAGATAGCACTTCATAGTTGTCCTAAATCTGCAATTTGAGCAGGGGGTTTGGGGAGGGCCGCTCACCTCTGCTGGGGTGGCTCAAAGGACAAGTAGAGACTGGAAGGGTCAGAAAGGCTGTGGTCTTGCACCTGTGGCCGCTGATGCCAGCTGCCAGTCAGAACTTCAGCTAGGACCATCAGCCGGGACACCTGCAAGGGGCCTCTCTAAGGGATGATGGGATTTTGGTGGCAAACATCCTGAGAGTGAGCTGCACAACCTCTTGTGACAACTCAAAATTTCCACAGCATCACTCCCACCATAGTCTAAGAGCAAGGCAGGCACAAAGGCTCAGTCGAGTTTAAGGGCGGCGGGGGGGACAAAGCGTCCGCCTCTTGCTGGGGGTGGTGTCAGGGTTCTGGAAGAGCAGGTAGAGTGGGGAACATTGTTATGGCCATTTTTGGAAGATTCACACACATCCCCTGTATTCGTTGGGGTTCTCCAGGGAAATGGAACCAAGAGGATAGATAAGAGGAGATTTATTATGGGAATTGGCTCACATGATGATTGGAGGCCAAGAAGTCCTGCCATCTGCTGTCTGCCAGCGGGAGACTCAGGAAAGCTGCCACTGCAATTCAGTCTCAGTCCAAAGGCCGGAGAACCGGGAGTTCTGGGGGCAGAGGAGAAGACGGATGGTCCAGCTCCAGCAGAGAGTGCAGATTCACCCTTCCTCAGCCTCTCTGTTCTATTCGGGCCCTCTGCAGATTGGATGGTGCCCACCCACCTTGGTGAAGGTGGATCTTCTTTCCTCAGCCTATGGATTCAGACACTTATCTCTTCCAGAAACAGCCTCACAGACACTTCCGGAAATCATGGGCATCCCTTAACACAGGCAAGTTGATGTATAAAATTAACCTTCATACTCACACATACATGTAAAATACACTCACCCCTCCCCCACCTCAGCCCTAAAGTCTCATCCCCTTTCAGCATCAGGCTCAGGACTGCATCCCCTGAATCAGGTGCTGATGTGGCTCCTCCAGCGTGGCTCCCCAGGCACAGGTCCTTGAGCACTGGTTCTAAAAATCCCAAGAACTAAAGACAGACATCCTCTTCCCTCCACCGAGAGGGTCAAGAGAAGATGGTGTCAACAGCATAAGACAACCACTGCAGACACTCCCTATTTTAAAAGGAGGGAAGGCACATGACAGGCACCGTCCAGCAGCTGATGTCCAGCCTGGCACATGGAGCCAGTTCCATTAGGCTCAGTCCTACTGCCAGGGAACGATTCTCCTTGGACTACCTCCAGGAGCCAAAGAGGCTTTTGGCATATTGTAATTCATTCTTAATGATGGGGAGGCATGATTCAATAAAGTGTCCTTCCTTTTGGAGAGCATGTCCTGACACGCCCCCAGGTACTGGACTCCTACAAACTTCACCAATAAAATGATCCTTCAGTCCGGGCACGGTGGCTCATGCCTGTAATCCCAGCACTTTGGGAGGCCGAGGCGGGTGGATCAGGAGATCAGGAGATCAAGACCATCCTGGCCAACATGGTGAAACCCCATGTCTACTAAAGATACAAAAATTAGCCGGGCGTGGTGGCATGCACCTGTAGTCCCAGCTACTTGGGAGGCTGAGGCAGGAGAATTGCTTGAACCCGGGAGGCAGAGGTTGCAGTGAGCTGAGATCTCACCACTGCACTCCAGCCTGGGTGACAGAGCGAGACTCCATCTCAAAAAAAAAAGAAAAAAAAAAGAAAAAAAAGAAAAAAGAAAAAAAAAAAAGGCCCTCAAATCTCCATGGGGCTTTTCTCCCCCAGCCTAGAGTCCATGTGTCCTACCACGGCCTCTAGTTAACTTGCCACTTCCTGCTCATCTGGTCTGATTAACGTGATGTCACAGATACAGTGGATCAGCCTAAGTTCTTGGGAGAGTCTTTACAATCCAGGCCCTCTCAGGCTATATCATAATAGAATTAACATCAGCCCCAGGGAAGACAAGCGGAAACTTGTGTCTGTCACACTTCCTTGGCCCCAACTCTTCCTTTCTAATATGGATGGAAATGAATGCCTCCCCCAGTCACTGACCATCTTCCTTGCATCTGAATCATGTTCATCTGCTCTAGCAAAGATATCACACCTGGCATGGCAGTTTGCGTGGGGCTCATTCTTGGATAAAATTGCAGTAGTCCACTGTGGTCAGAGAAGATCCACTCTGAATTTTGTAGAGGCCAGACTGAGGAATTGTGCGGAAATATGATGGGGACAACCACAGCAGCATCCTTTAGGTCTTTAAGAATGAGAATCAAATATGCTATTCTCACTGGGTTGCAACATCGCTATTGATTTACTGTCTTGCCTGGTGTCATGAGTAGTGCAAGATTAGAGATAACCAGGTCCACAAACATTTGTATCTTTCTACAGTGTCAGACTTTTACTGATGCCATTTCAATCACACAAGCCCAAAGTTCCCTGGAGTTCCCAAGTATGCAGTTCTCCTTAGTACTATCCATTCACTTGGTAGTCAAAGCCACGGGCACCGGGCTCAAGCCCCTCCAACAGGTCAGTCAATATTGCAAACCATGCATAATAGTACACATAGTCACTCACGCCTATAAGCCCAGTACTTTGGGAGGCCGAGGCAAGTGCATCAACTGAGGTCAGGAGTTTAAGACCAGCCTGTCCAACTTGGTGAAACCCCATCTCTACTAAAAATACGAAACTTAACCAGGCATGATGGCAGGTGCCTATAGTCCTAGGCACTGGGACTCTGGAGGCTGAGGCAAGAGAATCACTTGAACCTGGGAGGTGAAGATTGCAGTGAGCAGAGATCACGCCACTACACTCCAGCCTGGGTGACAAAGGGAGACTCAGTCTCAAAAATAATAATAATAATAATAATATACATAGTCACTATATAAATGTTACAGATTAAACATTCCACAGTAAACAAAGTAACATTTAACATCAAGAGAAAAAGATTGAAAGAATTAACCAACCAGGCCAGGGGAAGTAAGACAAAAGGAGTCCTGGGCTGGGTTGGCCGGTCCATTGGTCTTGCAAGGAAGCACCTTTGATATGGCAGAGCCTTTGGAGGCAGATGCCAAGTTCTTATCATAAGTGACTGCAAGACGGTGTCAGTTAAGATGGCCTGTTCAAGCTGCTGAAGGGCTGTTCTTTTATGGTCACAGAGTCCTCTGGCGAGAGCTGATAGTATTAAATAGAAGAGTATGCTTATTTGTGACCTTATCTGGTTGGATGCAGTCTTAATTTTTTTATTTGTTTCCTAAGCAAAACAGTTTCCTTATCCTTGTTGGCAAAGTGCCCTGTGAAATATATAATGGAGGGAGGCCAAGGCGGGTGGATCACGAGGTCAGGAGTTCGAGACCAGCCTGGTCAACATAGTGAAATCCCAGTATCTCTACTAAAGATACAAAAAAATTAGCTGGGTGTGATGGCACGTGCCTGTAATCCCAGCTACTCAGGAGGCTGAGGCAGGAGAATAGCTTGAACCCAGGAGGCAGAGGTTGCAGTGAGCCGAGATTGCACTACTGCACTCCAGCCTGGGACAGAGTAAGACTCCACCTCAAAAGAAAAAAGAAATATATAATGCAGTCTTTTTCTAAGATGGAGTTAGTTATGTCAAGGGTGATCTATACACCTGGGGAGAGGGAGGCAGTTTCACAGGCTTCTACTTGGCCCTCCCCACTACAGTAGTTCTTTACCCTACAGGCCAAGGACCAAGTCCACGCATTACCCGTACACATTTAGGGAAGGGGAAACTATTACTGGGAGGCTTCATGGACCCACCAGACCCACTGTAGCCAAACCTGGACCAGGCCCCATTTATTATGTGAACTCCATCCCCCGTCACTCTGAAACAGGGACCACAATGACACTCAGTATCTGGGGTATCAGTGTCAACTTGGATCCTGTGTGCAACAGTCCTCTAAATGTCTGCGTATATTTCTCTCCAACAAGTAAATGGTTGTAGGTTCCTTTAGGGAAAGATTGGGGGCAAATAACTTATACCCTTCTCCCTGGGACCCAGCCTCTCCTTCAGTCAATGGATTCTGGGCATGAAAACCAGTTCAGACTGGAAACTGAGCAAGATATCATGTTTGACAGGATGGTTGCTCTTGTGATCATCCTTTTTTATTGAATGTGTAAACTGAGTAATACTATAAATATACAACGAATTGAGTTATAGATGGGAAGTTGGCTGCTCATCTGTCTTGCCCTAGTAAGGCTCTATTAACTATTTCCAACCGCTATCTGTAGCTCAGTCCCCTCTGCTCCTTCTCTGACCTTGCTGCTCATCATGATCTTACACCCACCCTTTTTCTGAGTGTGAAGGGCTTACCCTATGGCTTTGTTTAGGGATCCTATTAGCCTAATTGCTATCAGGGAGCCCAGTTCTGCACAGCATCCCCTGCTGTCAGCCATGACCTATAGGGGACGGTTCTGCTGGAACTTCTCCACAATGCGGCTGCCCTTTCAGCAGGACCTCCTCACTGCTTTGGGAAATGGAGGAGTTTCCCTCAGACCCTCCTATGGAACATCAGAGGGGGGCGGAAGGTGTTCCAGCCTTACAGAGAATATCCTCCCTAGCAAGCCCAGCCTCTGACTCCTCTGAACCCTCTGTCTCTACCTACCATAACACATTTTTTTTTTTTTTGAGATGGAATCTAGCTCTGTCACCAAGGCTGAAGTGCAGTGGTACAATCTCAGCTCACTGTAACCTCCATTTACCGGGTTCAAGTGATTCTCCTGCCTCAGCCTCGTGAGTAGCTGGGATTACAGATGCCCGCCACCACGCCTGGTTAATTTTCGTACTTTTAGTAGAGATGGGGTTTTGCCATGTTGGCCAGGCTGGTCTTGAACTCCTGACCTCAGGTGATCCGCCCGCCTCAGCCTCCCAAAGTGCTGGGATTACAGGCGTGAGCCACCATGTCCGGCTCCTACCATAACACTTCTACTGCACTTTGCGAGACCATCACTGTCCCCGAGATTCTGTGAGCCATCTGCCTCCCAGGGTCCTCGGGAGGGAGTTAAATCCATGCAGAGAACTCCCGCTGCAAGAGGTAGAATTCCCCCCTTCTACCTTGATGTCTGCTGTTCCTTATCCAGCACCTCAGATCCGGTCTGGTACACTGTCCTGGCGTCTGCATGTCCATTCTTGCTAGGGCCTGCAGCTCCTTCGGGGTCTAGTTCCTTTCCCCCTCCACCCGAGTTATATTGTGACTTAGGAATCTGGTGACCAGGAGGGGAGGTGGGGGAGATCCTGATTCTAACACAGCATTTGTATTATCTTACAAGGCAAAGGCCTCAGCATCATCTTTAAGCAAGGGAGCAGTGATAGATCGCTTTAATAGGGAAGAGAGGGCCACTTCTGCAGGCTGGAAAATGTCTAGAGAATGTGGGGTTTCACAGTTTTTAGGGCATTTACTGAGGTATCCGCCCGTTCCAATCCCAGAGTCCCACTCCTTCCTAATCAGGATTGTGACCTTCATGTAGCCAACTTCCTGGGGTTGAGAATTCAACCTTCTCTGAAGCTTCTGTAGTCATTACCATTAAAGCCTGGCCTGATCCTCAGCTCTTTCTGTCCCCTTAGGACATAAAGGCCTCGTTTCACACTTCACCTTAAATTAGTGATTAATCATCTGTAGCATTTTTATTGTCTTTCTCCAGTGCATCGCTAACGCTGGCAACAGCCACTTAATTTCTTTGCCTTTGAATTTCTATTTCCCTGTATCTTTCAAATGACTGAGCTATTGCACCATCAGTGAAGGCTTAATCATTGTCCATACAGATGCCAGAGACTTCCTCCTGGGAGGTTGGTGGGGGGAGGAGGGTGGTGTGGGGGGAGGGAGGTGATGTGGGGGGAGGGGGGTAGTACGGGGGGTCCTTGTATCCAGCTGGCAGGTGATGGCAGCTCCAAAGTCCTATCTTAGGGTCTGCTTCCTAGGACCACTCCTGGCACCATCTGCCTTAGTTTGGGTTCTCGGCAGCCAGTCTGAGATAGAGGCTTGTGGGGAGGTTGATTGGGAGGTGCCCTCGGGAATCCTGTGATGGGTGAGAAAGAATTTGGCACAGGCAGGTACCATGGGGAGCTGTAGAGTGGAACAGTTGTCTCAAACAGAGGCAAGGGGGCAGGCCTTCATATATCACAGGACAAATGCCATCTTGAGAGTTCGCTGTCTTCTGCTGAGAGGGTGTTGGGGACAGACTCAGCTGTGAGCAGCCACCACTCCTGGCAGCGGGGGACACCCCTCAGTCCTGAGGGAGGATCTGTGTGGCACACCACACCATACACCATATGCCTTAAACTTAGATTTTTCACAAATTAAATTCCCAGTTAACTGTGGCTTCCCCAAATCAGTAAATGGCACCACTAACCAACTAATGTCTGATATCAAAACATCAGAGTCACCTTTCTTTCCTCGGTTTCCCTTCCTATCCTCAACCCAATTCAGCCACAAGTACCATTGGTTCTACCTCCAAAGGATGAATCTAATCTGCCCGCTTCTCCCCATCTTCACTGCCACACGGTGGCTGTGCGCCAAGTCACAGACATTTCACCAGGACCCCGCAGTACCTTCCTATCATAGTCCATTAGGGCTGCTATAACAAACACCTTAGCCTGAGTAATTTACAAACAGAGACATACCGCTCCCAGTTCCAGAGGCTGGAAGATCAAGGCACCAGCAGAATCAGTGTCTGGTGAGGACTCCCACCGTACTTGAAGGGTCTGCCTTCTCACCGAGTCCTCACATGGTAGAAGGGCGAACATGTTCTCTGGTTTCTCTTAGTAAGGACTCTAATCCCATTCATGAGGGCTCCACTCTTGTGGCCTAATCACCTCCCATAGGCCCTACCTCCCAACACCACTGCACTGAGGATTAAATTTCAACATCTGAATTTTGGGAAGACACAAACGTTCAGACTATCACATTTCCTGACCGTCTCCCTCCAACACACTCTCCACACCCTAGCCAGGGTAATACCAGAAAAATGTAAATCATAACAAAAACATAAGTGACATTTCCTGCTTAACACCCTGATAGCTTCTCACCCCTGTGGTCCTCTCAGACCCCTGTTCCCTCCTCTCCTACCCTGTCCTTCCCACACAGGACGCCCAGCCAATCTCCTTTCTGTCTGCTGTGAGGCTTCCGCCCTCTTTCCTGCCTTCGGGCCTCAGCAGGTGCTGCTCCCCGCTTAGGTAACACACCCATCTCTTATCCTGATGGTCTTTCCACTGCTGAAATCTCTGCATCTGTCATGTCTCAGTTCCCACGTGACCCCTCACACAGCTGTTCCAAGCATCTAGCTAACACGGCCTCCCAGTCACAGTTACTGTCTTTAAGCACCCCTCAGTACTTCTCATAACCCAGTATTATTAACAGGGAACTCATGTAGCACTTTTGTATCACTGGAGCCCCGATGCCCAGCATGTGTACCTGCTAAGTGAATATACTTAACCTTTGTTAGTTCCCATTCTATTGTTTACATTATTTTCAGATAAGCTAAAGATTATACCAAGACATGTTTATACTGGGTAATAAGAACATACTCTAACTTTTTTTTTTTTTTTTTTTTTTGAGACAGAGTCTTGCTCTGTCGCCCAGGCTGGAGTGCAGTGGCACATATTGGCTCACTGCAATCTCTACCTCTCAGGTTCAAGCGATTTTCCTGCCTCAGCCTCCCAAGTAGCTGGGATTACAGATGCATGCCACCACACCCGGCTAATTTTTGTATTTTAAGTAGAGGTGGGGTTTACACCATGTTGGCCAGGCTGGTCTTGAAACTCCTGACCTCAAGTGATCCACCTGCCTCAACCTCCCAAAGTGCTGGGATTGCAGGCATGAGCCACCACGCCTAGTCAAACATATTCTAATAATTTTTTTTGGCTTATACCTCAAATGATACAAACATCTGGACAACCAGTTGTAAATCAATAAGGAAAAGATGCTTACCACTTTCCAAATGCTCCCCGTTGCCAACAGAGATAGGTGTTTCCAGGTGGCTGTCATGGTGATAGAAGCTGTTTTCTCGCTTTTTCATTTTATCTGTGGAATAGGAAAGTGACGACTCAGAAGGCAGAGAACGTTCATGGTCTAGGAGAGGATCATTGAAAAGCCTGATGTGGCACCACCACCTGGTGTCTCTAGAATAAAAGCTCTAACTGCATGGTTCATGGTATCCTCAGGACAAGCCTGAATGCCGGCTGGGACCCAGCGTGACATGGGAGCTCACCCACTTCGGGATTTCCTTAACCAGGGACCACTGGCATGCCTCGTGTGCTGTGAACTTGTCATCCCCGTGGCTTGGAAGCCCCTCCTCAGAAAGACATCCCCTTTCAGAGCCTGAGCAGCCACAACATTTCAGGGGACAACATTAAAAAATGACCAAGATGACCAGACACGGTGACTCACACCTATAATGCCAGCCTTTTAGGAGGAGGATCAAGGCGGGAGGATCACTTGAAGCCAGGAGTTCAAGATCAGCCTGAGCAACATAACAAGACCTCGCCTCTACAAAAAAATAAACAATTAGCCAGGTCTAGTGGTATACTCCTGTAGTCCCAGCTTCTTGGGAGGCTAAGGTGGGAGGATCGATTGCTTGAACCCAGGAGGTTGAGGCTGCAGTGAGCCATGATCACACCACTGCCCTGCAGCTTGGATGATAGATAGAGACCCTGTCTAGAAAATAAAAAAAGACCAAGAAATATGAAGATTTTCCTCCTAGAATTTCTCAGGAGAACACTGGGATTTCCCCTGGAAAAGACTAGATGCTCATGTCTGGGGGAATCTATCCCATTGTGGCAAAAAGTGAATCAGAGTTTGTTGGAAGCCCGGTGTGGTGGCTCACACCTGTAATCCCAGCACTTTGGGAGGCTGAGGCAGGCAGATCACTTGAGGCCAACACAGCAAAACCCTGTCTCTTCTAAAAATACAAAAATTAGCCAGGCATGGTGGTGTGTACCTGTAGTCCCAGCTACTCGGGAGGCTGAGGCAGGAGAATCGCTTGAACCTGGGAGGCAGAGTTTGCAGTAAGCCGAGATTGTGACACTGCACTCCAGCTTGGGTGACAGAACAAGACTCTGTCTCAAAAAAACAAAAAGAAACAAACAAACAAAAAGAATTCATTGGTAGCTGGAGCCCAGTAGAGCCAAAACAAAACTCCTTCCTGGCAGAGCCATCAGGATAAATGTCAGCCCTTAACAGGGCTACCACAGATCCCACCATTATCCATATTTACGAACAGCCCAGCACTGCTGTGATGAGGCTCAGGGAAAATGACAGGGTCCCTTAAGTCTCCAACAAGCTCTTTCCTCCCCACCCTGTCTCTCTCTCCAAAATTTTATCTTTCCATGCACCCGATCTTACCTTCTCACTTTTCTGCCTCTTTCTCGTGTATTTATTCTCTCCTCTCTCCCTACATCCATCTCCTTCCCTCTTCCCTCCCTTTCCATTTCCTGCATTATTTCCCACCTTCTCCAATTTAAGAGGATTATCCACTTCTGACTTGGCCCCATCATAGATGCAGAAACTTCCACTGAGGGTCAGCTGGTAGATCCCTGGGGACTTGGGGGCTGCCCTAAGGGCTGTGTTTGTACTGAGCCTTTAGAATACCAAGTACCCTTTAAAAATTCTCTTGCAAACTACCCACCCAGGATCGTTGCAGACTATTCTTTAGAAGTTTTAGAGGTCTCTGTGTGCTCACTTCCAACTTATTTCTGTGTGTGTGCCAGTCACACGTTCAACAATCCTTTGGCTCACGATGCATCCCCAGCAACTGGCTTTCTCGCCACTGAGGTTAGTTTTAACATGCCAGTTGATAGTTATAAAACAGCAATTCTGGAAATCCCATCCAAGGATTGCTCTGTATTAACACATCATTAAAATAGTATATTGCAAAGTCAACATACGATTATAACTGTTGACCTATCAAATACTGAAAGATTTTGAAACCTCAGTGGGAGCCAAATGCCATTTTGTTAAATTGGGATACAGGAAAGGAAGAGAGGGTGTTGCAAATGTTGCAGTGGTGTGAGTTTGAGATGCTAGTGGGTTTTGCCAATATTTTCTCTAACAAAATAAGAATGTAATATATACATGTTACGTTATAATATTGCATTTTTATCCTATATATATCTACACGCACATATATACATCCACACAGTGCATACATGTGAAGTGTGGCCACAGCGCTGACATGGGACAGTCTACTGTGGCTCATATCTAATGGCCATAGAGCAATTTCAATGAGGTTCCTGCAACCTCTGGAGCAATGGCCACATTGTTCAATTAAGACAGAGGCTCCCAAAGTGGCTGTAACACCCATCTGAAAATGTAAGTTATGGTATATAAAAATTTATATCATGACTCATATATTAAACAACCATTTTACAATGTAAGTCAATAAACTTTTATTGAGCAGTGTGGCAGATACAGGGTAGGGGATGTAGGATGAATGCACAGTCCCCTGTCCTCAGAGAGTCATAACAATATGTTACTGTGCCCTTCTCTTGGAAATGAGTGACTCTGCCCAAATGTGGAAAAATATTTAAGTGAGCTCAAAACGAATACGGCTGTTGGCTCTGAATGCAGAATAAACAAACCTCTGCCCAAAGAGAAATCAGATCTGCTGTCTTTCTGATCTAACTCCGCAAAGCCAAGTTCTCAAAGTTTGAATGCCTCCCTCATAAGCACCCTCAAATGAACTTCATGCCTCTGACATTGCACTCATCCCAAATATCATTTCCTGATGGCACGGCCTGTGCTTTTCTGAGTGGATTGACAGGTCAGACCAGTGAGGAGTCCTGTGTGGCTCTCTCTGTCCAGACGAAGCTGGCTGGTCAAGATGAACGGCCGTGTCTATCTGCACAAGGCCAGTGGCTTATTTGTGAGCTAGACTTACACAGTTGTTTTAGGATGTTCAAAAAGATCAAAGAGCAGGAAATCATGAAACAAAATCAAGTAGAGAAAAGAATCAACAAGAAAAAAAGTTATAATTGACGAGCAAAGTGGTTACAATGAAAACCTCAAAGCCCTGAGTAAATGCTAGAGACAAAGGAATCCCACACAGGGCTCGTGAATGGGAAAGTTACGTGGAAGAGGGAAGAGTTGTACCCAGAAGGCAGTGTAGAGAGGCAAAGGAGCTTTTTTAAAAATGAAAGTGTAGGCAGGGCACGTTGGCTCATGCCTGTAATCCAAGCACTTTGGGAGGCCGAGATGGGTGGATCACCTGAGGTCAGGAGTTCGAGACCAGCCTGGCCAACATGGTGAAACTCCATCTCCACTAAAAATACAAAAATTAGCCAGGTGTGGTGGCACACGCCTGTAATCTCAGCTACTCGGGAGGCTGAGGCAGGAGAATCGCTTGAACCCAGGAGGCGGAGGTTGCAGTGAGCCAAAATCACACCACTGCACTCCAGCCTAGGTGACAGAGCAAGACTCCATTTCACAAAAAAGAAAAAAAAAAAAAAAAGAAAAGAAAAAAAGGTGTAGTTAAGAAAAGGCAAAGAGTTTGAAAGGTGTTGACTTTTGTCTAAACGCCACTCCAGAGAGGAGAATCAAAGAAATGGAAGAGGAAATGTATTGAGATCATGGCTGGGGATGTGCAAGAATTGAAGACAAGAGTGACAGAATACACAGAGGTAATCCACACCTCATACATCATATTGAAACTACAGAAATCAAGGAGGAAGAGGAAATCTTAAAAGCAACCAGAGAAAAGACAGGCACCCTGGAAGGAATACCAGTCTGACAGCAGGTGCCAGAGGGAATGGAATAATATCTTAAAGTGCTGAGAGTGGCCGTAGCCATGGCTGTTTAGTTCAGCTATTAGCACTCACATGGAACAGACTGTGGGGAGCGCCACTTCCTCCTTCCTCCAGAGTCTCCCACAGTTGACAGTGGTCATTTCTCAGACCCCCGGCTCCTGCCCGGGGCCTATGTGTCTCAATATTTAAGTAGCTCCACCTTCCTCCGTTTTTACAAAAGTGAGAAACCTGAGAGTCAGCCCATAGACAGAACAACCCCAAGTCCTGTCACTTTTTTTTTTCCTTTTCCTTTTTTGTAGAGATGGGATTTCACTATGCTGGTCTCAAACTTTTGGCCTCGAGTGATCCTCCTGCCTTGGCCTCCCAAAGTGATGGGATTACAGGCGTAAGCCACCACACCCAGCCCATGTCTTTTAAATTCCCACATGTCCATCCCTGTGGACACTGTTCTGGCTCAGGCCTATTGCAGTAGCCTCCTGGCTAGCCTTGCTCCCTACCACCTCACCGATACCAGAGTAACTCTTTTCAGACCACTAAGAGGGGCTCCCTTTACTGCTTCCTACTCAAAACTCTCCCAGCTTGCCCTCCAGTCAATGTGTTCCCCCTGCTGCCCCCTGCCCATGCCTGCCTGGGACCCCCATTGTTCTAAACCAGGGGTCTACAAACCAGGACTCACTGGCCACACTGTTTAGATACCCCCCTGCCCAGTCCCTAGCTGTGGGGTCATTCCCAGCTGTGCCACGTGATTGCTTTCAGCAAAAGCCTGCAGGTAACTCTGGGTGCCACACTTCTGACTAACCCAAAAGAATCTCATCCGATCTGCTCTACCCCTCTGTGTAAGTTGATCCTTCAGAAAGGCATAAGAATTCCAGGCAAGGGCAAAGCGTCTTTCTTGTGGCCCTGCATGTTGTTCTGGTCCTTCCCGGGATCCTTGCTCTTCCATGCATCCCCCATGGGATGCATATACCACCACATGCTGTAGTGTACCACAGCCTACACCACCCTTCCCTGCATGCCTTCCTGGTGGGCACCAGAGCTGCCCCTTCCACTTTCCACAGTCTCTGTCATACCATACCCTGGTGGGTGCTGGGCAGGACATAGGCTGGGTCCAGGTTCCCCCATTCAAGTGGCATGAGGCCCATGCCTGTCCACACAGGACCCCCGGCCCCACCAGGGATGAGAATCCAGAGCTGAGGTGCAGAGCCACGTGGAGGCCAGAGACCTGTGCTCCTGGGTGTAAGGAGATCCAACCATGTCTTTTATTTTCTGTTTCCTGATGCT